CCGCGGATTTGCCTCCGCACTTATGTCGGCGCGGATAAGGACATCGCGGTTTTGTGGTGGAACCGTCATTCTCTATTCCAAATCACTAAATTGGAGAGAGGGGTGGCATTTGGGGGTTCGTTGAACTGGGCAAAATCATAGCTAGAGGAATCCTCGAACCCGTGCGAACTCTCAGGTCAATCCAAACTAGAAGTGCTGCCTGGATTGGCTGAACTGGTAGTAGTGGCGGTGGGAGGATCCATCCACCCGCACGCTTCTGCGCATGCGCAGAAGCATTGCGCACACAGGCGAGCGGGACCATGCTCAAACTGGTAGTAAAAAAATTGCCAACGTATCAGGACATTTTCTCCCCTAAACCGGGCGTGGGCGTGGCAGCGCATCCGGCTCACAGGCTGCAAGTTTCACAACCCGTTTCTAACACATCAAGCTCTGACTCTTTAGGCTACAGCAGTTGTAAACAAGACATAACTTTCTCTGAGAAGCCCTAACTCTAATCAAAACGGCTTTGAAAGAAAACTATGAAGCAAACTGGCTTTCCAACAATAAAACATACAAATATTTGATGCAATGTCTGAAGCATCGTCTGGACCGTCGCCTTCTGCACTAGGTAAGGGTTCGGGTTCAGCAGCAATCTGCATGGAATAAAAATAAAGAATGCAGAACAATTTTTTTTAAAAAAAATATTGTTTACATTCCAATTTACACCATTCAAATTCATTCACTGTTGGTATTGGTTGTAGGTTAAGAAACAAGTCAACTTACAACTTCAGTTATTTTACTGCTTGGAAACAGGCTGTAATTAAAAAAACACAGGAAATTCCAAGTGTACAGTATATGGATAGTTTACAACGAACTTACGAGTTACAATGAACTGACCTAGAATTATCGTTGTGGGGATTATTAAGGGATCACCATGTGGTTGCGCCTGATTTTACAAGCCTTTTTTCTCATGGTTGTTAAATGAATGCAGTGGTTGTTAGGCGAACCCATTGTGTACAGTGGGTTGTGTTTTTGTTTTTTTTTGCCAGAAACCGGAAGCAAATGTTAATTTCTGGCAAAAAAAAATGCCATAAATCATGCTCATGTGGCCGACAGGACTCTGCCAACAGCTATAAATATGGGCTGATTGCCAAGTGCCATAAATACGACCACTTGACTTTGGGGAAGGGCAGTCATTGGATCTTTGAAAATAAGTCATACACCACTCTGAGGTGGTTAACTGAAAATATGAGTCCTAAGTGACTAGTCCTAAGTTGAGGACTATCTGTAGCAGGGGTGGGTTTCTCGCCCCGTTCCAACCGGTTCGGTTGGAACGGGGCG